TCGTTGTTCAAAATCTTTGACGAAAACTATAGTTTCGATGCGGGGATTTTCAAAATGTTTTTGTAAAATTAGGAGAATTAACATACTAGGAAAAGACCTGTTAGGAACGCGGTGAGGATATAATGTGAGATTTTCAAGTTATTGATTTATATGATTGAGAGTAGTGAAATTTATGTAGTTGCTTGTTCGTGTGAAATATATGAAATTTGATGACATCTTTGAATGTCTATATGTGTTAGAGCTTAGTATGGACCTAGTGAAGAACTTTGCGGTTCAAATAGTGTAGGGACTTTTTGAATGCCTTAGTATTTAAGAGACTTGTGAGAAAAGAAGTTAAGTGGTCAAAATGGTGAAAGTGTTGTGGTCTAACCACCTTGCTGAGAGCGCACTTGGAGACGGAGGATGATATGCGCAGATGCTACCGTGAGTAATTTTAGTAATAGTTTTAGTCACGAGGACGTAACCTCTCTTTAAGGGGGGTAGAATGTAATACTTAAGAATTTGAGTACTTAGATTAAGTTAATGTTTCGGGACGAAACATCTTTTAAGGAGGGTAGAATGTGACACTTCAAAAATTTAAATAAAAATAAAAATAATTTTTAATCAGATAAAATATTACGAAAATAACAATTTTATAATTAATTGAGTCAGACAAAAATTCAACAGTGGTAACGTGCCAATCAGATAAAAATTTCAAAATTTATGATGTTTTAGTCAGATAAAAATATTTCAGTAATAAGAACATCATTTTAGTAAACAAGTGAACCAGACAGAAAATTTACATTTACGACATTTTTAGTCAGATAAAAATGGTCCGATAATAGATGTAACGTATAAAATAATATGGAGGGACTGTACAAATAATACACGGTATAATTTTCTAAACCTAAACTAAAATACCTACGTACGTATTTTTACTACCTAATTATACTCCTATTATACATCTACCTACGTAACTACGTAATATTAGTATATAGGATTTATACTTCTACTAGGTAAACTAGGTAGAATACGTAAACTCCGTACGTAATACCTAATATAACTACGTAATATTAGTATATAGTATATAGGATGTATCCTATATAACTACCTAATTATATAGGATATATATAGCTCCGTACATAAACTAGGTAGTAATATATAACTATAATACGTATACTCCTAAACATTCCCGGTAGTTTTTTTTTCTTGGCCGGCAACTTCAAAAATGAAGTTGATTAAACTCCAACTCCAACTCTAACATCTCATCCTAAAACCCTCATCTTTCCCTATAAATAATAGGTCAGAACCTACGTTTTCTTCATCCCAAAAAAACTACGAAATATACATACATATATACGTATATTATATATTTTTTTTTCGACCCACCGTTTGAGCCAGAAACAAGCCCTGAAAATACTTCTCAAACCTTCCCCTTCGTGATACGAATCCAACGGAAAAAGAATCGTCGAAAACGGTCGTGAAACGAGGGAGAAAAGCCTCGCCGGAGTTTCGCCGGAGAAAAACTTTTCGACGGAAAACGGAGAAGAGGGAGGAGCTGCCGCTGCCGCCAACCCACCACCGTCATTCGCCGTCCCAAACGGAGCCAATAGCCGGCCGTTTCGCTCGTCCGACGAGGTAACACCTCCCCCCCCTTAAAGTCCCGTTTTTCCGGCGACTTGGTGGAGAAGACGACCCAGCCAAGGCTGGGGTCTGTCTTGGGCCTGATTTGTTTGGGCCAGAATAATTTAATTTGGGCCAGTTCGGCCCAGTTGCAATAAATATTAAAAATAAAATAGTAAATGAAATAAATAAAATCTGGAAAAATATAAATTAAATACCTAGTATAAATATACATATTCGGACCAACCAGAATTGGAAAATAATATTTTTAGCTATTTTTAATTGATTTAATGGTAATTGGGCCAATTTATACACTTTTAGTAAATAATTAACTAAATGACGAAAATAATTATGAAATAAATATTGGAGTAAACTAGGATAAATATATGACTAACTAGGACCTTATGGACCATTTATAATTGATGAATATTAAGATTTAGTATATTTAATTGTAATTGAACCGGTTAATAGATATATCAAATTAAAGGAATAATTATGGAAAATAATTATAAAATAGATATCTGGACAACCTAGGTCGAATATAGACCCAAAATATATTTATGGACGGTTACTAATTTATAAAGTCGATTCTTAGTCTATTTATTTAAATTAGGCCATATAAGACTAGTTAAGTAATTAAATAAGTAAATATTAATATTAATGATGAAATAAATAAATCAGTGAGGTTGAAAAATAATATTCTGGACTAAAAATAATGTTTGAATAAAATAAGGAAAATAAATATATTCGGTTATGTAAATAAAGTAATTAGATAATAATTAGAGAAAATTAATGGTGATTATTGAATAAAAATTGGATGTTGTAGTCAATAATATTCGGATATTTTATTTAATATTAGAATTCAAATATTGTAATTAATGGCTGAATTAATAAGGTAATTTGATTAATAAAAAGTGATTAACCAAAGTTTATGCGAATAATAAAAAAAAGGGGGGGAAATCGGGTAAAGTAATTACAAATAGAATAAGTGACTAATTTATCATATTTAATTAAAAAGGTGATTATCTAGAGACCGGATTAGAGGAGGATAACTAGGAGCAACAGGACTTAAGGTAAGTTTCTCTGCCAATCCAAAATTGTTTCCTCGTATTATATGCTTATTATGCATTATGTGATTAAGTGTGAAATATGAATTTTGTGTATGTGATTTTGAGAAGATATTATATATATGGTAGTTAAGAAGTATAAATCAAGTACTTTTGGGGTATTAAATATTTTTAAATACCTTCGAGACTTTTTAGAGAAATTAAGAAGTATTTTTGAAGTATTATTAAGCGAAGATAAAATTTACATTTTCATAAGAAGATAGCATCTCGGGAGTAATCCGAGGTGTCGGTTTTTCCACATCCGGATAAATGTGGAGGGTGATTAGAGCTACTACTACTAAGAAGTACAGTTTGGATCTATGATCCCTTTTAAGTAAGATTTGGATCTATGATCCCTTTTAAGTGAGATTTGGATCTATGGTCCCTTTTAAGAAGAAGTTATAGTAGTAGTCCCTAATCATTCAAGAATTTTAGAATTGGGGTGGTTGGGTTCCGACCACTCGGGATGACTTACTACTCGGAGGGCTTGGAATCCCTTTTAGGGGGTGCACACACTTAAGGTAGTCGTTTCGTTTCCAACAGAGCAGTTGTGGTACCGGCACTTGTTCGGGGTGGCCGTCCGTAACCACGGTCCACCGGGCTCTACCGAAAGGTTAAGCACCGCCCTTCTAAATTACTAGGAAGTTAGAGAAGAAGTGATTTCCTTAAGAAGTTTAAAAAGAAGAGTTACTAAGAGATTTTCCAAGAGAAGTTTCAGATTTTAGCAAAGAAGTGATTTTTTTGAGGAAATCAAAGAGAAAAGTATTTTGGAAGAGTGCGTCATTTTTATATGATATTATATAAAAATCTATTTTTTTGTCAAACCTGATTATTTTACGGGGTTGGGTAGTTCTTACTTAGCTCTAAAGCTAATTTTTGTTATTTTTCTTGTCTCTCTCTTCTCCCTTAAATTTTATCAGGTGATGAGTTGGATACCTATGTGGATTGATGAATTTCTCGAGCTTGAGTGCGAATTAGAAGATGTCTTAGTTAAATCTAGTCATAAATCAAACATTTACTTATTATTACATTAGTTTTTATTGTTTTATTTTGAGTTGCCTGTGCATTCGGTTAAGAGATGACCGAATGTGGCGGTAACACTCATTTCCCTTTTAGACTTCCGCTGTATTTCTTCAACTCTTTAATGAATGAATGAAGTATTTCTTTTAAATATATCAATGTTTTGGGCGGGAAATTTAGGGGTGTTACACCTTCCCTTCACTACCAAAAAAAATGTAGTAAGGGGGGCGTTGACTCAATAAGTAATCAATGAGTACAAACTCCGACAAAACACCTTTCGGCAGCTCCTGACAAGGCATTCCAAGATCATACCGAAGGCTTCCCTGGGGAACACCTCGGGTACCTGAAGACTCTTATTCAGAAAGTCACATTTTACGGTGGCTCTTACTCCGAAAGCTACTATTCAACAAATACCGTCAAAAACTGCTAAGTCCATTATCTGGTTACCTCCGACGTCAACCAACTCCGAAGGCTCCAATCCTGCACAAGGGTTAAATTCCCTAAGTCCAAGCAACGATTGCCCCCGGCAATTCACTAAACACCGAGGAAATACTCCCAATCATTGCCCGAGGGCATTTGACTTTACCATACTGCGGATGGACCACAAAATATCTTGAGCCCACGCTTTGGAATCTACCAAAGCCGAAGGCAAGTGAGCACAATAATGATCTCCAGGGGGCCAAAGTCCACACTTTGGAGCCCACGCTTTGGAATACACCAAAGGCTCACACCGAGGGCATCTACTGGAGACGAGAGTACACAAACATGAATCTCCTAACCTCCGGTACTACAAACAATACCGGAGGCCCCTATCTCATACGGCTAGAGGATTATATTAGCCGAAGGCCAAGTGATGAAGCTACACTTGGAAACATTTTGTAAGTCATAAATGTTCGGCCCTCGGTCAAATCATCATGCCGCTAAAATAGGCCAGGTAACCAAAGGCTACACAATGCACATCACTTGGAAAATTTTCTAAGTCCTGAATAGTTGTCCCTCGGCCAACTCAACATCCATCAGGAGTCCTTCAGGGCACAACTACACTTAGTGAAATCTCTAAGTCCTAAAACGACTGGCCCTCGGTCAACTCATGCCGGCCACACAAGATCAGAAGGAAACATCGACCGAAGGCCTGACACAGAACAACACTCAGAACAATTTTCTAAGTCCTAAATGATTGGCCCTCGTTCAAATCATAATGCAAACATACACGCATACAGATATGAAAGGAACGTAAAGAAAAACGAAGGCCATTCACTCACCAGAAGGGAAGAAAGGAATAAAATTCAAACATCAAATGCCCGAAGGATTGCATACATTCATCACAGAAGAAATATTCATAAGAGATTGTTACATCACCCAAAACGTACAAAGTGTTTATACATAACATGGTTCGAGAATTGTTTAAGTACAATCTCGCTCATCGGCCTTGGAAGTAGCATCACCTTTGGCTTCATCATCGCCACTGAGGCCGCACTCCCTCATTGTCTCCGAGTCCTCGAGCACATGTCTTTCTTCACCTTCGGGGAGGGGAACCCGGACATCTGGTTGCCGAGGGGGAAGGCCATAAGCTTCAGGCTGGAACTCCTCCTGCGAAATGTTGAAGTGCCTGGCAAGCTTACGGTAGATGAGGCGCTGGGTAAAAAACTCTCCACCTTCATAATAGGAGTCACCCCTCTCAGCAAGCCACATTTTGCCGGGGCCTCCAACCCAAGCATCCACAGAAGCCTCCACCACCGAGGACAGTCACTTCTTGTGCTCCTCTGCCTTCCAGCCCTCAGCAATAAAGGCCTCAACGACAGCTTTCGCAGCCTTGTCCGCCTTCTCCATCTTGGCCCTCTCAGCGGCCTCGGCGGCAGCCTAGGCAGCTTCCCTTGCAACCCTTTTGGCCTCGTCCTGACCCTCGGCTCAGCCCTCAGCCTGACCCTCGGCTCGCCCTCGGCCTGACCCTCGGCTCGCCCCTCGGCCTTGGCAGTCTCAACTCCCTCTGTTGCAGCCCAAAGGGTTTCCTGCCTGAGCTGCTCCACCCTACGGAAGTGCTCACAAAGGCCCATATAAACCTGTAACAATAATGGAATGAGGGGTCAAAAGGCATTACAACCCCACAAAGGCAAGTAGACATAAAGAGAAAGGAAGGGGAACGTACAAAGGCGTTGTTCTGAAGGATCCTCGAGTTGAGGCCCTCATCACTCATCTGGGCAAGGGCCAGGCAATCAGCCGAGGGCATCATCTGGCTCATTAACTCCGAGGGGCTGAAGTTGCCTTCCAGGATAGATGCATCCTTCGGCACAATGGCCTCCAACTTCTCCCGGCCGAAGAACTCCTGATTGGGGCGCTCCTGAGGGATGGGGCCGGAGGCGTGTCTCTCTTCCTCGACGATCACAACATCAGCGGTAGGCTGCTTGCCGTAGTCCGCGGCCTTCAACCTCTTGGCCGAAGGCTCAATCCCCTTGCCGCTACTCTTTTTCTTCAGGGCCCCCTCGCCCTTGGAGCTCCCGGCACCAGAATCGGCAATAGCAGCTTGGGAGGGCTCCTCCCTGGTGGGAGCACCCACCAGCTTCGGACCCAAGGGGTCCTTCTTCTTCCCCTTCGTCTTCTTCATAGCAAAAAGGGAGTTCACGTCCATATTGTTACCTACAAAGACACAACACCAAATTATTATAAGCCGAAGGGGATCAACTACAGTGACATGGATTGAACGCTAAAAATTTTCTAAGTACAAAACATATGACCCTTCGGTAATCACCTCGGGCGCTCTCGAACACGCGATCCATTGGGGGTATCTTTCGTCTTCCGAGCCCCTCGGCCGGTACTGCCGAAAGCCAAGCTTGAACAGTTCATCCGGAAGGGTGGCGTCTTTGATCTTCACGTGCTTTTCGGACCCCTCCGGCTTCGTGGGGAGGATCTTGCCGTTCTTTTCGAGGGCTGCATTCCCTACCTTCGGATGCCTCCGGAAGCTATAACGAAGGGCAGCTGGGAAGGGGTTCTCCTCCAAGCGTATGCAACAGTACTTATCCTTCCATCCCTTGTGGGACGAAGGCACGTCATCAAAAATTCTGAATTTGGGGACTTGCTGCAGGTTTGCAAACCCCCCAGCATTGGAATGCCCCCCTCGGCAGAGGTTAAATGACAGAAAAAATTGATCGAGCGTAGGTTCAACATTTCGGCTTCGGCACGGGGAAAGGAAGCCCGCGACATAGGAGTGGCTGTTAGGTGTTAGCTGACAGGGGGCCAACCCCACAAACCTCAGATACTCCAACAGGAAAGGGTGGAGCGGAAATTTGAGCCCCATCTCCACTGATAAAATGTGGGCGACGAAGCAGCCCTCGGGTGCATACAATAACAGATCGTCCAGCCCCGGTTCCACCACACGTGCCGAAGGGTCGGCAAGAAGCTGTGTGACCTGGTACTCCGAAGGGGAGGCCCTCGTCTTTACCTCCAGAGCAGCGGTATCCAGGTACAAGTGCCCTTCGGGTATACCCACCGGCTGCCCAACATCAACAGCAACCTGCTTTTTCTTCTTAGGGACGGCCTTCACTTTCTTTTTCTTCCCGGGGGCTACCCGGAGAGGCTTTGGGTTTAGAGGCCTGGAACTACTCGCCTCGCCGGCGTCACATGGGGGGAGGATGGCGACGGTAACTTGCATCCTTTCTCTCTCCTCCTCCTCCTCCTCGGCGGTCTGTATCGCGATGGCCATCTCCTCATCCTCCTCTACCTGCTCAAAATCTTCAGCCTCAGCTTCGGCAACGAGGTCTTTTTGCACTTCCATGGCTACAGCGGCATCACCGCTTACTGAAGGTTGTCCACTGGAAGATTCCACGTCTGAGAAGCTTTCCACCTCTACCGAGTCCTCCCTCGACATGTCTTGGGAATCACTAGCTGATGACATGATTTCGCAAAATTGTCTGAGGGGTACAGGTGACGAGAGTCCTAAGGCTATAACACTTAATCTATGGCCGGAAAGCAAAGAACACTAAGGAAGCAGAGAATGGAGCAAGAACTAACCTCAGAAACTTGGTTTTAATCTAAGTGCGGTTTCTCTCTCTAGAAAATTTTGGCCAGAGCTTCGCTACAATGAATTCGCACAAGGAATAACAGCCGGCCTTGGGGTATTTATAGACTTTCCAATCCGGGCTTGGGCCGAAAACCGGGCTTCCGGTTAAAAAGTCATCATTACATGCCGTCGTTTCACCCAACCGGTGACGCCCGCCCGCAGCCAGCCAACGGGTACACGACACGTGGACATTACCTCCAATGGTCATATTCCAACGGTCATATATCCCAACGGCTATACTTCAAGCGGTCACTACGCAGCATTGCCTTTAGCTGGCACCCCTCAGACAACGCTAGGCTTGCCTTCGGGCTTTCTCCTTCAGGCTCCTTCATCAAGAGGAGCCCCCGGTTTAACAATGGGTAAACCCCTCAGGACCCATAAGCCCCCAGCATGTTAAGAACCAAGGAACCCCTCGGTGCACAGGGACAATCACCGACATTCATCAACAGCGATCACGCCCTCAGGTTCATTGACTGGGGGACTACCCTCAGCAGTCCCCGGGATGCACACTCATGCTTGACAACTAACGGACGCCTTCGGAGGAATGCTTCCAACAGACACTACCCTCAACACCTCCGGAACATTAACAATCATCCTCCGGCATCACCAGGATATCAACAGAGAGCCTTCGGTAAGATCAACGATCAAATCCTCAGATCACGGATAGCTCTCGGTGGCAACATTGCTATTCATCTCAAACCGAGGGCTCACCTTTTTTGATTCATCGTTGGGGGAATTCGGTGCACTCTTTTTCCCTCATTAGGATTTTTTCCAAAGGGTTTTTCCTAATGAGGTTTTTAACGAGGCATCCCCCCAAAATGAAACGAAAAGCATAAGCCTTCGGCCCCATGACAAAAACAGGCACCGCTCTACTCCTCTTCACCACATTACATGTGCCTCAAGGAGTGGGGGACTGGAGAACCCCTCCGGGAAAATCACAAAATGCTAAAAAAATATTCCCACAAAGCATCAACACCCTTCAGTCCCAAAATGTGGGGGATTGAGGGACTGCCCTCGGCAAACACGCAAGCGCAAAACTCCTCACAACTTTTGCAAACTACAACAAGGCAGCATCAGAGGACAAACACAATTACTCCTTTTCCCTCAAGTACCTTTCGGCAAAAGGAGTGAGGGACTCATGATGGAGTATATGGCCCAGGAACCCCCGGCCCACATACTTTCACTATTACATTCAGGCCCAACAGGCCCAAATCGGGCCAAGCCCAGCAAGGTAGAGCCCTAAGCGGCCCACAGTACACGAAGGGGTGCCTTCGGCCCCATGGCCGAAGGCTACCGGTGACGGAATTGGGCTCAGAAACATCACAGGGGAACAAGTCTGGAAAACCAAGCCTTCGGCAAATGGAGCCCTTGGCACCATAAGGCCCCCGATACTCAGTGCCTTCAGACTGTTATCTACAGCCGAAGGCATCCTTCTCGACAGAATCTCCCATCCACATATGCTGGATCAACGTACCAAGTACAAACGTCACATCCAACCACTGCATTTATTGCTGCTATAAATAGCACCTCTTTCCCCATTTGTAAATCACGCTGAATACAATTCCAATACACACTTGAACTCTTTATCTCTCTTACTTATTTGCTCTGACTTCTCTCTAGGTCACTCCCCGCAGTAACTCCTCGGATAAGCTACCCCGGGTACACTATCCATCATTGTGTACATTTCAATTATAAAAATTTCAAAATAGACAAAAATATTAAAAATGTCAAAAACAAAACAATATAATTTTAAAATTAAAAAAAATCATAATATTGAAATCTAAAACCTTCAAAAACATGCAGAATATAACACAATTCCCAAAACACAAAAAATAGATTGTGACATATTTAACCTTTTCAATTTTTCTGCTATTTGTTTTTGAATTTTAACATCTTTTAATTCTTAGATGTTTTCAAGAGTAATTTGCTATTACGGGTAAAATAAAAAGGCTAAAAGGACGGAATGATCGCTTTTTCGGAGTAAAGTGTGTACTTATTTGACATTTTTAGTACTCGGGGTATATGAGTTCAAGTGATTGCATACAGTCCTTTATACGAACCTTATTCCGAGCAATGATGATTGCACAATGTAAAAAGGTGTCAAAAAATCACTTTATTATACCAGTACTATTTATTGTACTATTGTTTTAAGTCCTTGTTATTGAAATAATTTTTTTTTATATCAATTTAAGATCTGAAACTCAATTTAGGTCTTGTAGTGATAGATTATCATCTTTTGGACCACTTAATGAGAGCAATTATATTTTAGGTCTTAAATTGATACATGTCCGTTTTTAGGGGGTTCAATAGGTTATCCAGAACAGGGCCCCCGGATTTACGGGGCCCCAAATTTTTTAAAATTTATTAGTATTATTTAGTAATATTATATATTAATACTAATCAATAAAATACATTTAGTAACGAAGAAAAATATAGATCCATCATTTTTTTCGTTGGTCCTTTCACTCTTTTGGTTCTCTTTTAACGTGTATTCAATTCATTTCAGTCTACGTATTTAGATTGAGATTTTTTTTAACTTTTCATATTAATGTGGGCCTTAATTTACATGTAGAACTGGGGCCTCCAAATTCATTAGACGGCCCTGAATTGATACTACATTCACTTTTGAGGTCTTAAATTGATGAAATTCCAAATAAAAAAGTACCATGTATTTTAAAGAAGTACTCGGTACTACTTACTTTATTTAGTTTCCTCTCAATTTTCTTAAGCTGAAAACTTTCCTCTAGTTTGTTCCATATTTTCTTTGTCTAACGTTTACATAATTCGAAACTATAGTGGTAAACACAACACTTCAATTATTCGAAAATATAAAAAACATAACGTCTACTACCAGATCGAGTTTGACGAAAATATATAGGAAAAAAGGGTCAAACAGGCCATCCAACTTATATAAAAAGATCAAATAAGCCTTATATAGAAGTCACTTTCTGGGCGTCGTCATTTGGGGCAGTTTCCGGTGAGATTTTTTGATGATTTTTTTTGAATATATTATTCATTAAGTCTAGTTTACTCATACCAAATTTCAGTTAACAATTCAATCGGGAAAGCATTCAAATGAATTCTTGAAGATAACTGCGCTTTTAACTAGTTGAAAATCATATTTAAAATAGAAAGTGAAAAATCATTTTGGGACAACCAAAAAAGGAAATTTTGCAAATCAAATTGGAACGGGGGGACTATGTATATGGAGTATATGACACTATTTGGTAACACTAAAATTAGTTGTAATGGCTAATTTTTTCGAAACTTATTAACTTCGGCCTGAATTGTCTAATTTTGTTGATTCATGTAAAATTCAATTTGAAATATATTTTATTAATAAAATTAAGGAAAAATATATTGTGCAAAATAGCTAAAATATCCTCTATAATAACCTGAGTCAATTCAGTCAGAAAAATAATTTTAACTCTAAATTATTATGCAATTCAACACATAAATAAAAATTGAGTCAAAATTGATAAGTTGGTCTACAAACAAAACCGCAGATAGAGTTCTTTATTTGGATGGATTCCTATGTTAAATCACAATACAACCCCCAACCCAACTGTGCCATCCGATTCTTAGCTGTCACTCTTCATTATCATATTATTATTACATGATTATTACGGGGTACATTATTATACGAATTTCCTTTAATTTATTTCTTTCTTGGATAAAAATATCAAAAATGATGTTTGTACACACTCTTATACACACCTATGTCTGTGAAAGCCTTTTTTTTGTCTGTGAACATCGATTCACAGACAATGTTTTGCACAAACAAAATATTGTCTGTGAACCGGATTCACAAACAAAAAAGAAGCTTTACAAACATGATGTGTATAAGATGTGTAGAAAGGTGTGTACCTCAAGAATCGTTGTAAAAATATATTCCAATCTTCAAATCTTCAATTCTCGGCATCCGTACGTTTTCGATTTTCCGCGTTAAATTAATCCATCCCCCATCCATCTTTTCCTTCTTCAACGCAGAGACAGCTACTACTTCTACTAGCACTCATCATCCATGCACTCCACCAAACCCTACCCCTCAGATTTGAAATTTTCACATTTCGATCCGATCGAAGGAATTCAAATATTCATTTCGCTAGATTTAATTGATGCATTTTCTAGACTCGATGGCGGCGGCCGATTCTAATTCGCCAATGATGACTCGCGGCGGCCGAGTTGAGTGGAATGGGGAGAAGGGAGAACTGACAGATTCCGCCAGAGGATTTCCGCCGCCGTTGCCCTGGCTTGCCAGGACGGAAAACTCGTCGTCGTGTAGAATGCCGTGGGTCCTGAAGCGGTATTACACGGAAGACGGGAGACTCGTCATCACCGGCGAGAAATCCGACCGCCACGAGTACTTGGAGGCCTACCGCTCCGGGAGTCGCCTCCGTCTACGCCTCGTGCCGCTCAGTGTCCCCCTCGTTGGCGATGAATCGCCGGATGAATGCGCGGAGGAGGGGCAGGGGGGGTCGCTTGGTGGCGATGGATGTGATCGGGCGGCGGATGCGGCGGTACAGGATCGATCTGGAACGGTGAATGGTGCCGGAACCCTAATGACCGACGCATCCTGCGGCTGCGGCGGCGGCGGCGGCGGGGGAAATAAGAAGTGTTCGAATTCGTTAATTATTGGCGTGGGGGTGACAGCTATAGCTCCCATAGTTCACATATGACGACTGAATTACGTAATTAACCATTTTTTATTTTTATACTCCGTATTTTTTATTCTTTAGAAAGAAGAAGAAGAAGATTTACACGATTACCTTGGCTGAATTTTATAAATTGTTGAATCTTTTATAGTTTTATTGACTGAATTATTGGGTTTGATGTTATTTTTTCAATTCGCAGAAGCCATTTCTGATCTTCTGCTTCTTCTGGCTCTTACCATTCGCGCATATCGAGGAAAACGTGCACGAAATGAATCCAGACGACGGCGTTTATCTTATCCTCTTCTCCATCCCATGAAAAATACTCCGTACAATTTGTTTACAATCGTAGTACTCCGTAATAATTACATCTTCAATTGCCAATTATGACTAATTTCTTCTGAATAATTTTAATTTTTATGAAAATAATTATCTAAAAAAAATCACAAGCATTTAATTTAATTCAGATCATATATTTTTTAATTTTATATCTCATGGTTTTTGTTTATATTATCTCGCGCTTGCAAGAGTTCAGCTGTTAAAGGGGATGTAAAGATGAATATTCAGGCAAAGAATGAGTATAAACGCACTAGACTAAGTAACCCATTTAGAATAATCCATGTGTAACTTCAATAAAAATACTCCGTACAGAGATTGGAAAAAATGGTAAACATGGTTGCAAATGCTAATTTAATAAATGGTAAACATGGTTGTAAAAATCTCCAATGTTATAATGCTAATTTAACATGGTTAGAGCATCTCCAATGTTATAATGTGTACGGTACACATGTGACATGAGAAAGAACCACATACATATTAAAAAATAAATTATTTCTCCACAATATCAAAAACACCGTCTAGATGTTGATATTATAGTTGACATTGCAGAGAAAAATTTACCAAAATTGTATACAATCATTCAAATAAGGAAAGAGATTATATATTTGTTACAGAGTAATATTTATGTGGTTATCTCTCATGTCATAGGTGCATTGTGTACGTTATAGCATTGAAGATGCTTTTACGAGTCCCATTTTTATCTCACAATTTTCATGTATAGGACTCCTATATCTTTTGATTCATTTTCATTTTTGATATCACTTTTAATTCACTTTTTATCAACTTTTCAATTTTTTATCTATATTTCTCTCATCTTTTTCATTTTCCTTACACATCACTTCGTCTGTATTAAATTAAAACATGCATTCTATCTATATATCTATTCATCCTCTCATTGGAGATGCCCTTATAGCGTACAACGGTACAAGCGGCCAAGCGGATGATTTTATAAGTCTTATAATTCAACAAGTCAGTAAGTATGTTTTTACTAAGACTGTTTTCAGTTTTAAATTAGATCATACTTGAACAGCAATAAAATGTAGAAAGATCAATTAATTACTTGATCAGACCAGTTCAGATCAGATCAGATCAAACTATATTAGATCACATCAGACCAGAAAATTCCAATCCAACTAAAAACATCCAAACTCAATCGACCCATACACCATTCAAGAAATTAAGATTCTTTTTAATTAATTAGTCAAATGATTCGTGTGTTGCACAGAAAATGAACGAAGTTAATTTTTTCCGATGTAACTTGTCTCATTAGTTAACCACATAATTTTCATAAATTTCAAATACGACAATATTATTAATTGGAGTAAGAAACATGAAATGATTGAATTTTTTAATTTTATTTTTCTGCTTGAATATTTTTCAACTAAATTCAATTATATGATTGTACTTTATTACTAATTTAGTAATTTAGAAAACGAATTTAGTAAGGATTAAATTTTTAAATTTAATACTGCATCCGTCGCACAAAGTTTTCCCAATTTTAATTGTTTAGACGCCTTAAAAAACTTCATAATTTCTATTTAAGTAATGAATACATGATTAAAGATATTTCTTTCTCTTCTTATTTGAACAAAATTCAATTATTATACAATCATGATTTTATTATTTCATGTGAAAGTCCATTTTGGTCAAGTTTTGTGAAAAGAGTAAAAGAAAAAAATGATAGAACCAGATGAGTGCAATCGTTTTATATTATTTTGAAAATTATAATTAATAATTGTTACATATCATTTATTCCGTAGTATTAAATGTACAACCTTTGTAGCCCGACTAATCACGCTGCAATATAATGTAATGCTCTATACTTTAAACTTTTTAAAATAAAAACATTCCATTATTCTGTCTTTAATTATTATTTGACTAAATGAATTCCGCTTTTTAATGTTTCTAATTTTCAATTATTAAGTTTATATTTATTGCATTTTTAAACGTGTCATTTATAGCTTGTAACTATTAATTACATATTTACATCATCTTTGTTAAATATTAATCATGGAGTTATTAAATGTTTCATTAATCAAAAAACATTTTTCATTTCTTTTTGCTTCAAATGAATTTTATTTGGTTTCCACCATACTTTGATCTCTTTATAGAAACATGAATTTTATTTGGTTTCTTTATATATATATATATATATATATATATATATATATAGAAAAGATTAGGTGAGAAATGTTCCTTAAAATGAGAAGTGAGAAGTAATCTAAGCCTTTGGATTTGCATGTGATCTTGCAATGCAGTAAATTTATAGACGGAATATAGGAACTTATAACCAATAAATCATAACTTATAAAGCAGGACTCCTTGGTTCTTGAAGGAGGCTAAGAAATTCACTACATACTTTGATCTCTTTATATATATAAATTGAAGGAGTAAATTCTACTTCTAGTTAAAAGCGCAGTTATCTTCAAGAAATTTATTTGAATGTCTTCCTGATTGAATTGTTAGCTGAAATTTGGTATGAGTACACTAGACTATTTTGGTCTGGTCTAGTCTGGTCTGATCTACTTCGATAATTTGGAAGGAATATTATTATTTTTCAATCCCAGACCGAAGTAGATCAGACCATACTACACCAGACCAGACCAGACCGAAACAGACCAGACCATATCGAACCAGAATAATAATAATAATTATAATAATAGTAATAATAATAACAATAATTATAATAATAACAACAACAACAACGACAACGACAACAACAATAATAGTAATAATAGTAGTAATAATAATAATAACAATAACAATAACAATAATAATAATTAGGTGCGTGCACTATCCGGTTTAAACCGGAAAACCGGACCGAACCGGACCGGAAAAACTGGAACCGGATCGAACCGGAATGATATCCGGTTCGGTACGGTCCGGTCCGGTTTTGAACCGGTGCACACCCCTAATAATAATAATAATAATAATAATAATAATAATAATAATAATAATAATAATAATAATAATAATAATAAATGGTCTGGTATGGTCTGTTTTGGTCTGGTCTGGGACAAATTATAGTCCAAGTAAAAACAACCTAATTGAGCACAAAAAACGTGGGGTGGCCCCCACTCATGTGGGAGGTCATCCATTTATGTCTCGATGCATACAATCAGCCCCGAAAGTTGTATTTCTCGGACTATTTTAATTATATTTTATTTTATCGGGCCTAATAAAATATATCACACATTCTCAACCCATATGGGTCCTTAGAATGAATATACACTCCTCAACTTTAATTTAGAAGTCTCCGAATTTTTTTCCGAACTGTTATCCGTTAAATTACCAATACCGGTAGTTGTGCCTCGTTTGACCAACCAGTCAAGCCTATGCCCTTTCCATGGCTCAACTAGAATATCTACTTGTAACACCCCTAAATTTCCCGCCCAAAACATTGATATATTTAAAAGAAATACTTTATTCATTCATCAAAGAGTTGAAGAAATACAGCGGAAGTCTAAAAGGGAAATGAGTGTTACCGCCACATTCGGTCATCTCTTAACCGAATGCACAGGCAACTCAAAGTAAAACAATAAAAACTAATGTAATAATAAGTAAATGTTTGATTTATGACTAGATTTAACTAAGGCATATTCTAATTCGCACTCAAGCTCGAGCAATCCGTCAATCCACATAGGTATCCAACTCATCACCTCATAAAATTTAAGGGAGAAGAGAGAGACAAGAAAAATAACAAAAAATTAGCTTTAGAGCTAAGTAAGTACTACCCAACCCCGTAAAATAATCAGGTTTGACTAAAAATAGATTTTTTTATAATATCATATAAAAATGACGCACTCCACCAAAATACTTTTCTCCTTGATTTTTCTTAAAATCACTTCTTTGCTAAAATCTTAAACTTCTCTTGGAAAATCTCTTAGTATCTCTTCTCTTTAAACTTCTTAAGAAAATCACTTCTTCTCTAACTTCCTAGTAATTTAGAAGGGCGGTGCTCAACCTTTCGACTGAGCCCGGTGGACCGTGGTTACGGACGGCCACCCCGAACAAGTGCCGGTACCACAACTGCTCTTGCGGAAACGAAACGACTACCTTAAGTGTGCACACCCTCTAAAAGGGATTCCAAGCCCTCCGAGTAGTAAGTCATCCCGAGTGGTCGGAACCCAACCACCCCAATTCTAAAATTCTTGAATGATTAGGGATTACTACTATAACTCTGCTTCTTAAAAGGGATCATAGATCCAAATCTCACTTAAAAGGGATCATAGATCCAAATCTTGCTTAAAAGGGATCATAGATCCAAATCTTACTTAAAAGGGATCATAGATCCAAATTTTACTTAAAAGGGATCATAGATCCAAATCTTACTTAAAAGGGATCATAGATCCAAACTGTACTTCTTAGTAGTAGTAGCTCTAATCACCCTCCACATTTATCCGGATGTGGAAAAACCGACACCTCGGATTACTCCCAAGATGCTATCTTCTTATGAAAATGTAAATTTTATCTTCGCTTAACAATACTTCAAAAACACTTCTTAATTTCTCTAAAAAGTCTCAAAGGTATTTAAAAATATTTAATACCCCAAAAGTACTTGATTTATATTTCTTAACTACCATATATATATAATATCTCCTCAAGATCACATACACAAAATTCAGAAATCACACTTAATCACATAATGCATAATAAGCATATAATACGAGGAAACAATTTTGGATTGACAGAGAAACTTACCTTAAGTCCTGTTGCTCCTAGTTAACCTCCTCTAATCCGGTCTCTAGATAATCACCTTTTTAATTAAATATGATAAAATTAGTCACTTATTCTATTTGTAATTACCTTACCCGATTTTCTCCTTTTATTTTATTATTCGAATTTATTAACTTAATTTATTAATTATCCGAATTTACTTGATTACTCACTTTCTATTAATAAAATTACCTTAATAATTTTATCCATTAATTTTCAATATTTGAAATAAAATATCTTAATATAATTGACTACAACATCCAATTTTTATTCAATAATCCCTATTAATATTAATATTTCCTTATTTAATTACTTAACTAGTTTTATATGGCCTAATTTAAATAAATAGACTAAGAATCGACTTTATAAATTAAAAACCGTCTATAACT